AAACTATGGAAACAAACAATAGGGGAACCAATCGCCAACCAATAAATATGCAGGAGAAAGTGGAGATGGATTAGACACTTGCTGAGGAGGCCGCTGGGTGACATAGCGCGCGCATCAGGCCATTGCTCTAGTGGAACTCGAAAGGGAAGCGGCGAGTAGGACGTCGAGGAGTGACATGGAGGAGATCGTGTGAAGAGATGTTGAAACAGTATGGACTAACATGGATGCAGGTGAAAATTACAGCAGAAAACAGAAGCAATTGTAGACGTGCAGTTGAGGCCGTATGTTCCACTAGGAACCCAAATGAACAATAAAAAAATAACAGTAATACTTGTTTGAACGCTTCACCTAATTCTGTGATTATTATCCGTTCCTTTCCTAAACTGCATATCATTATTTTGACATTTGCATATCACATGTTGACTTGATTCTTATTATTTGTCTTTGTTCGTAATTCATCTCTGAATTGAATGCTTCTCTTTGTGGTCGTGTATATATCGATAATGTATTGTATGGGAGAATCAAGGTCCTTCTTATCTTGAACATTCTGTGGTGGTGTGATACGAACAAAGTGTTCCAACGGAATATTATTCCCACATATTCCCACATTCCAATACAGCATTAGGCAACCGAATACTATATATGTATTTGAACATTCTGTTTTTTGTCGTTTGATGTGAATCTAAACCACACGCTCAGTGATCGGTTAACGAATATAATAAACTGCAGAAATATAAACAGCGGTTCGATCAAATGGAAAATACACCTTGGCTTCCATGTCTTGCCTTTTGTTGTTACATTTTATAGTCAGATTTCTGATCCCACTCTGCTGGGAATATTTTACTTGTGAATCTAGGATACTTCTGACACCTGAATTTTGGCTAACTAATTTTATTCTACAGTACACTTGTTTTATGCTTAGAAATCCACATTGCATGCATAGTTGGCCAACGACACTATTGAGGAAGTTTTGAGTTTCTGATGTTATTATTATCATCATCGTGGAATTGAACTACACATGGATTTCAGTCACAAATAATTGTCTTTTTGATGTTGCCTTTGGAGTGTTTTGTGACTTGTGGATATTTCAAGAAAGTTTCGGACAACTGTAGAGTAGGAAGCAAGAATCGATTCTCTGCATTTAGACCGTAACGAGTCAGTTTTCATCACAACAATTCCATTCACAGTTATCACATAGATATGTGTCGTAAATCAAAATGTATAACTCAAACGAATGCAACGTAGATTCAGTTTAAAGTATCAAGAACATGAACAATATCTGAAATGTTAATATTAATTAGATGGTTGAAGGCAATTGGCAGTAAGCCCCACTTGACCTCAGTTTCGTGCTTGTTAGCACTCACCAGTCATCAAGGTGTATCTCAAATATTGAAGGAACTCATGTCCTTTCTGCGATTAGACTAGGGTGACTGGTCCATCATGTACTCTGTCTAAGTTACGACTTCACTTGATTGGCATTATTAGCCCAAGAGGAAGTAGGCCGTAGAGAGACTAAAGCTGCCTATATCAGCATACAAAGGCAAACAGATCAACGCTGAACCTCGCATAGAAGTTGATCGTTTCAGATTGGCACATTTGGCAAATGTAAACAGAGTAAATATGGGAACAGCTGAAGAATTGATAGATAAGTGCCATGTTTTTGGCCGACTAGCCATCTTATTCACTCAAGAATCACTACCTTAATTTGTTTTTCTCGCTTTAAACTGTACATCTAATCTGAAGACTGACAACTATGCGTTTCCGATTCGTATACTCCATAAATCAAAGAAAACTGACAACCTAGCCAATATATTCTACTTTCGATGACCATATGTGAGAGAAGGAGTAGTAGGAATGGGGTGGATCTATGTAAATGAGTAGCACCGTATCTATCATAATAGCCATCATTTTGTATCCGTGAAAATGTATGGCTGTCGGCTGAGGGAAATTTAGGAATGCATCGACCGGGGAATCAACCACAGACGATATGCATAGTTGATGAGTAAGTATTCTAACACTAAACCGTCGAATATTTCACCAATAGACATTATAGGTAGGCTAATTATTCATTGGAATTGAACGAAACACCAGAAACAATCTGAATTCATCAAACTGGACCAGACATTGATTTTTCGTCTGTTTTGGAAGTTTTGTATGAGTCACAAATATAAAACAAACAGATTAACTTAGATAATTTATGCATACTTTTTGTTTATTCACGACAAAATTTCTAGTCAGTGAAAACTGACTATGAAAAGATACATTTACGTGAATACCTTCTTGTATTCATCATCTGGAGGAATTTTAAACAACCTATCCACTAGGCCGGCAAACGTATTCAATCTTTTTAAATGAGATTTGCTCACTGTCATTTAATAACTAATTTAAGCGTGATCAGCGTGCTGCAGACAATGAGGAGTGAGAAGATATGTGTACGTGGAACCGATGAAATGACATTAGAAGGAAGATATGCAGTTCGGTGGGTGAATTTTGTCTAGTGACACACACACACACACACTAACTGTAAGATTTACAGGCGGAAACCAACAAGCTGGCACAAGAAATAATGCAGATAACATTTTCAAGTGAACATAGAGAAGACAGAAGTGTTGAAGATACCTAAGCAACAGGATTAACAAGCACTGGTAGCCATCATGAGGGGTGGGTGGAATTTGAAGGAATTCATCTCTCTTTCATTTATGTAGGCTTTGCAATTAAATAACCTAGCTACCACATCAAAATAGAGTTTAATAACTAAACTGTTCTAGAGAAATACTGATAAAGAGAAGAAGGAGAACTCAGTTAACCGGAACGGATATTTCATGCGTCAATCTAAGAACTGCAATTATCATGTTAAAGCTGATGAAACCATCTAGTAGTTGCCCAGACTGAATTAGGTGAACTCTTGACGCATTGGTTGAAAGACGAATGCTTAAATCAATGAATCACATAGCCACTTCCTTCACAAATAAATAAATGTGTCCATCAAACTGTCTATAATCACCTGTTTCTTGACTTAGCGCAACGTATTCCTGATAAATTAAATCAGTAATATCACAGTTTCGATAAATTTTATTGTGTATCAGCTGTTTTAGTGTTTATGCCTACACTTATCCAAGATCAGTAATGCCATGATAAAATGCAGTGAACTATTTTCGAAATTACAGGTGCCTTAAAAGTCTAGTAATTTATTCCTATGTAAGAATAAAACAGGAAGTACTGAACAGCTGCTTCGTACACCTATTTTGAGACTCTTCAGCGAGACTCACCCATTGGGATTCGAAACCTGGGCCCTACGGTTATTTTTTTTTTACAGCTTGATTCCACACTGTATTTTTGGTACAAGTATGGAATTTTCAGGATGGATATCGGTAGCCCAAATTTTGCAGGCCGACCATAGATATCAGGTGTGCGTCGGCGGAGGATCGTACCTCGGACCATGTGAATGGTCGACGAGAGTCCTAACCACTGTGCCACCGACGCGCAAGGTTATAAGGTGAACTCGTAGACCAGTCAGCTACTAGGACCTGTCTGATTCAATGGTCCATGAATTCCAACTCCTGTTAGTTGGATTTATATAAATATAAAGCGCAACCACCGGCCAATGTCACCGGCGAGTATTTTTCTTCACTCCTGACCTGGTGGTATACCATCCTGGCCACGACTTCTTACTGGAACTCCCTCCAGCCAACTTCATCCTGTAGCCAGTTAGTAGTGAGCATCAGATTAATTTTCAAGAGTTACTCTGGATCCCTGTAAAAAGTTAACACCAGTGGAGTCCATCAGTGTGAGGAGTGGAGACAAGTACTCACCGATGACATCAGCTGGTGGTTGCGCTAAAATCACGAATTGATAGAAGTTAGAATTCACGGGCTATTGAGTTGGGTCCCAGTGGCTACATGGTTTTCCAACTCGCTTTGTAACCAGAAGGTCCTGGGTTCTTGCTACTGAAGACTCCCAAAACAAGGGGGACGGAACCGTTGTACAGTACTACCTGATTTCCTAATGCTTCTGTAACTGAATTCAGCTCGTGATCAGACTTGAACAAAGTGACCGTTGGAAATCTGACCTGCTGATCACAGGGACAACGGATTTTAGGTATTGAGCTACATGCATGCGATAAATTCAGTCTCCAAAGTGACTATTCTTTCTGCTTGTAAGCAATTTAACACGGGAACGAAACCTAGATCACAGACTGGACAACTAGTTCCTCCTAGTCCGAAACTCTTCAGTGGTATGTACTCACGCACCGCCCCCCCCCGGGAGACGGGACCAATACTGAGGCGATCCAGTACTACTCACACTACTCTGAAGAGTGTCAGACTAGGGCGAAACAAATGTCCAGTGCACCATGATTCTCGATGGTTCTCTAACCGATATCATCAATTTGTGATGTATCATAAGATTAATAAATTCCCTGCTAACAAAAACTTCTGAATGACAAAAATCTTGTAACCAGCGTGTTAGTTAGTCGCAATAAATCCAGACTCATTATTGATCTTTTTTGATTACAGCTTGATTCCACACCGCATTTTTCGGTACAAGTATGGAATTTTCAGCATGTAATATCGGTAGCCTAAATTTTTCAGGCCGACCATAGATATCAGGTGTGCTTCGTTGGCAGGGGATCGAACCTCGGACCATGTGCATGATCAGCGAGAGTCCTAACCACTGTGCGACTGACACACACAAGAACTTAACTCAGAGAGAGCAGAGAGGCGACCTAGCCCATCAGCGATTACTTTATGCCAAACCCTGTAAAAACACATGTTTAAATTTCCAGTTCTGAGACGAGTTAAAATTAAGTTTTTGTCTTTTTCTATAGTATGACGAATATTTTTAAGTCAGTGACTATCTTAGTTGCAATTCCATCGCTACTGTTGTTACAGTTTTCGAAATTAAAACGGTTCTTGCGATACTTTCAATTAGAACTAGCAATGATAATATATATAATAATAATGATAACAATAATAATAACAATAATAATATTAATAACTGACCAGAAAAAGTGATCCAGGTCCATGGTGTTTTTTAGCAGCTCTCACACCAAAGATTGAACTAATTTGACTGCTTAATACATGATATGATGAACCAGATGTGTAGCCAGATACCATGGATGGTGCTAGATACGATGTGAGTTTACCAAGTTGACAGAGTCCGATTACCAGCTTTTTTAAATTAAGGCAGGAAGGAAAAAGAAGGAGGAAGTTATACGTTGGATGTTTTTGATCGTTGAACAGTGTAAGTGAGTTTGAGTGTGTGTGTGTGTGTGGGAGTAAATAGGTAAGACCAGGAGCATTAACCGTATTCTGTGATTAGGCAGTCAATGATTTTAAGCAGCCAAATCACCTGCGAACTGCGAAGTGAAAGTAAAACGACCATGTGTTTCAATAATGCACTTCTTTGATAACCATGTGAATCAGTCAGTTTAACTAGGATAAAAGTGGGAATATAAACTCGTCAGCAAGTATAACTTATAAGATAAACTTATCAAAAATTGATATAGGCTAGAGAAGAGCTTATCTAGGCAGTATCGTCTGAACTGCAGGCAGCCAGAACTGATGAGGATGTAAAAGCCAGTCAGTCAGTATGGGAATCTTCTTCACTCAGCATAAACAGCAAGATTCGAATTTTCAAGCCAGTCAGTCAGTCAGTCAGTCAGTTATTTTGTTTAGGTCAGAAACTTAGCGCGCGCGTGTCATGAACAGAATCTCCACCGTTCAACTGCAGACTTTTATGGCTCCAGATTGAAGATCAAATGACCAGCGAAAAGAATTAACAACAAGAAATCCTTGGAAAAATCTAACCAAGAACCTATTGCTCAACAAAAATATTTAGAAGGGAATTTAGATGGATTCGACAGACGCTAAGGAGACCGCAGGATGATATCCAGTGGAATTTGGATGAGAAACGACTGGTTGGGCGTAGTTGGCCCGAGAGTGATATGGAGAAGGTTGTGTGAGGAGGAGGCAAGAGTCTACGGATAATCATGGGGTCAGCTAAAGAGGACCGTATAGAACCGGATCAAATGGACATGTTCTGCTGAAGCCCTATTTTCCACTCGGAACCCAAGAGAATAATAATCATACTAGAGAAGGACCGTAGAGGCTAATTAGTGGATTCAGTAGTATTAAATGCACTTTTCCTGCAGCTGACTTGCATCTAGTTTTTACCAGCCGAAATATGATTAGACAATGCGTCAAGGATAGATTACCGCTTTTGTCCACATCTATGTGCATTTACTCATTTACCTGCTCTTGTGGAGCTGATTATATTGGACGTTGTATGCGTAATCTCCGAAAACGTGTAGCTGAACACTATCCGGTTTGGTTAATGAAAGACGAACGAAGAACTGCAAAGTCGTCTATTTGTGATCACCTGTTAGAGTCTGGTCATTTAGCCCTACGTGATTCATCCTTCAAGGTTATCTACATGGCAAAATCGAATTCTTCGAAAAGTTTACGTTTTCTTCACTGTAATTAAAAATTAAAAAAATTAAAAAAAATTAAAATTATGCATAGCTAGCCGAAGCGTTAGCTATACATGAACAGAAATCTAAATTATGTGTTCAAAAACGTTTTGTCAAACCCCTTTTTTAACCTTGGTCATGGTATTGTTCTTTCTAGTTTGTATTTTATTCTATTTTACCACTTGAATTCATTCCACTTCACTTCACATCTTCATTCTTATCGTAATCGTACTCCTAATTTTTAAAATTTTTAGACAACAACTGACATTTTTTAAAACATTTTTGATATCAATTCACTTATAAAACAATCTTTAATAATTTTGTAATCCCTCCATTTCAACTCTACCCCTTATAACATTTTAATTATCGTTATTCTTATCACTTATATATGTATATTAACTGAGCAATTATTTAGTGCCACTTAATAAGCTTTTTCTGTAACATAAATGCGACTGTACAGTTGCTTGAAAATGAAGTCGTTGAAAAGAAATTTATGTACTAAATAAAAAAAAAACTGTGTTTTTACTTATGATTCACCAGTTGCTTGTTCTTCTTTCTACTTAAGAGTTCTTATCAGTAATAAATACTCCGACAGGGGACAATCATATTTCATGCTATGCTTCACTATGATTCATTAACCGGATCGAAATCCAATGCCACGTGTTTTAAAATTCTGACAATTTATAAGACAAGCTGTTTCAGCATAAATCACTTTTAAACGATAAATTTTTCGCATAAATATCATTTTTCAGCTATGTATTCGAATATTTCGCGTTAAATAATAATAATAATAATAATAATAATAATAACGTATGAATGAATGAGTTAGAGTGAGTGAATATCAAACCGCATATACGAAACTTGGTCAGTCAGTCGGTGATTTCACTACAAGGAAGTTCAATGTTCCAACAATATATTAGCATATCCGGTTTCGAGTTTAAGGTAGATGGATTATATATAAATTAATTATAATTATGCATATTTGTAGACAATGACAACAGTTTACTACTTTCTTCCCTCATTTAGCACAAAGAATGACTAGGTACACTTTTAACCTTATTTTCAAAGGTGTCTACAACAGCTAAAAAGCTTGTGACTACATACACGTAAAAACGGATTCATTTTGATGTTTTCAGGACCAGTCTTCTATGCATATATATATATATATATATATATATATATATATATATATATATAATGTCCACTACATGTCTACCAAGGCATACAAACTTTAAAACGACCAATTTACCAAATATTTTGTTTATTTATCTCATGTGTGGGCGATACTGCCGACTAATACCACTAGGTAAAATGGTCAAGTTAAATTTTATAAATCGATTTTTCAGCCTTTGTTAAGGATGATCGCGTTTTAAGGGTGAATACGCTCTCAGCACCCTTATACAGCAACAGATGTATTTCTTGTGAGTTGTAACAGTATTAACATCAGATATGTGTGAGTGTGTGTATGTGTGTTTCCGTTTGTTAGTCAAGTAGATTATGTCATACAACTGTTTCCCACTAATAGTTTGAATAAAGAAAGAACTTGTTTTATTTCGTCGATTTTCTTCATCTCTCCACATCCCGCCTCTGAAACACTCATTACACTCTATCAATACGATGTGCTCGTTAACTCACTCAAAAGTAGATAAGTATCTTACTCTATCATGTCACCTCCAACTGCATTTACCAATTCACCTGTACTTGAGACAACAACTACACACGAAGGACTAAGAGGAGAGTGTCTACTACATCTGATGAGCATATCCCTAAAAATCTCTGTATGAAAGGCGGTGGTAGCAAAGTGTTCTGAAGTCCAATAATCGGTAGACACTTAATTGATACAGGATATACAATGGAAGTTAGTCAGGCTTTCAAAATAATCAGTAGACAATGAAAACCGAGGTTACTTCTCTATTTAAGTGTTGGTTTGTAGGGATTTGGTTGGTTACAGGATTTCATCATGAGGTGACATCGGTCGTAACCAGTAGGGTGCAGCCGGTAGGGTGTGAAGACAAATACTCGCCGAAGACATTGGCTGGCGGTTGCGCTATATCGTGAATTGGCAGAAGTTAGAATTCATGGGTTATTGTATCGAGGCCCAGTGGCTTAATGGTATACGAGCTTGCCTTGTAACCGGAAGGTCCTGAATTCGAACCCTGGCGGTGGGTGCGCACTGATGAAGAGTCCCAAACTAGGACGACACAGCTGTACAGTACTTCTAACTGGTTTTACAATGGTTCTCTAACCGATGTCAGTTCATGATGAAATCCTGTAACCAAGGTTACTTCTGTTGGAAGAAGCCACTGCTATCAAAAGGCTTCGACCCAGTCTCTGTATGCAGAAGGAGAGTGTGACTAATCTCTCACTACCCTGGTAACCGTGATTGTTTTGTTCGTGTGTTTTGTTGTGTTGCATAACTTTTCACTTAATTTTGGTTTTGACTTAATGAGTTCAACTCGCCATCAAGTTTCCCATGTCTACTTAATTTTACTTCACTAATTACTCCCACACTCTCATTCATAGTGTGTATATATTTATTGTCCTATGTTATATTTTGTTTTCCGTTACATGTTTATCGTTTCCAGCTATCTGGTTTTAAATATGTAGACAACAGAGGCAGTTGTTGGTAGAACTTTGCGGTAGCCTGTTGAAGATGATTTTGGTGACGCCGGTGCACAATCTTTTAACTATGTAGTGCAAACATTCAGTTGAGATTGTGTTAAAAATTTACAACATGTTTTTTGTGCTGGATGGTGTTGATCTTCACACTGATTTTAGAATAATGAAGATATTTTTTTCAAGTATTGCATTTTTTAGGGATTTTGTTTGATAGTTTGGAGGATTTCATCATGAGCTGACATCAGCTAGAGAACTATTGGAAAGCTAGCTGAAAGTACTGGACAACCGTTTCGTCCTCGTTTGGGGCTGTTGATCAGTACGCACCTAATGTCATAATTTGAGCCCGTAGACAATTAAGCCACTGGGACCCGATCAAGTGGCAAGCCCATTGTTATGTACTCGTCGCTGAATTATTGTTATGGACTGGTCGAGAAACTAATAGTCCTGACGCGAGAAGGCGGAAATCAGAAGACCACTAGGTTTGCGATGATACTTCTATTGTCCAAACACAAGGAGACGAAAATAAATGGTCTCACACCAAAGTGGTAAGTAAGTAAAGTAGTTGTAAAGTAAAGTAAAGTAGTTCACACAAATTGTGAATGCGAATATATATAAATAATTCAGACAAGCGTGGGAAAAATCATTAGACAGTCTTAACATGAATGGCTAATTATAATGGAGTGTCGATCCAATTATACATAGCGAATATAGCAGACATGCCAACAACATTTATGGATATATGTCACCAAGCAACGGACTGTCAACAAACACTCATATTATATATAATATAATATAAGGAGAATACACATTATTAAAGGAGACAAGTCCATACAAGTGAAGTGGTCACAGACTAACCGAGCAAACAGAAAGAGAGACCAACATGCACACACACACATAAATATATATATGTGGATACATATCACCCATGAATTCTAACTTCTGCCAATTCATGACATAGCGCGATCGCTAGCCAATGTCTTCTCCGATGAGTTTCTGCCTCACCTTCAACCTTCTGTACCCTACTGATCACGGCTTCCCACCAGAACCACTAGAAGGTGGAGCAGTAACTCGTCGAAGAAGACATTGCGAAGTGGTCATGCTATATCATGAATTAACAGAAGTTGGAATTCATGGGTCGTTGGATCGGGTCCCAGTGGCTTAGAGGTCTACGCGCTCACTTTGTAGGCAGTGGATCCTGGTTTCGAGTCCCAGTGGGTGCGTACTGTGAAGAGTCGTAAACTAGTGTGGAATAGTTGTCCAGTACTACCAGGTGGTTTTCCAATAGTTCTCTAGTTGATGTCAGCTCATGGTGAAATCCTCCAACTAATGAAGATATGTTTTGCTTTTTTGCTCCGAACTTTGACATCCCTATTTATGACTTCTGTCTGTAGTTGAAATAATCTTCCCCAGTAAGTAAGTGAAAAAACAATCACCAACAAAGCTGACATGCCGCGACCGATGGGATGCAAACTCATGAGTGACAATGAACTAACCAAACAGAAAAATGAATGATCTTTACACAAAAACTGACGTTTATTTGCAAGACAAGTGCATAATACACACATTAGACAGTGCATCTTTCTCTGACATGACTTAAAAATGAGTCCCTGTGCGTCGGTGGCACAGTGGTTAGGACTCCCGCCAACCATGCACATGGTCCGGGGTTCGAGCCCGCACCGACGCACACCTGATATCTATGGTCGGCCTGCAAAATTTGGGCTACCGATATTCATGCTGAAAATTCCATACTTGTACCGAAAATACAGTGTGGAATCAAGCTATAATCAAAAAAAAAAATTGATGAGCGTCAGTTTTGTCGTCGAACCAATTTCTATACAAATATTCATCAAGATAACTGAGAATAAGTTCATTTTTGGGGCCGTTTATTGCTTTCAGTCTACCTTGAAGTCCTTGATTGAGTTTGTGTCGGCACTAGAATCTGGAATAGCCTCCATAATCCTCTTCTGGAGTTCAGTGCTGTAAATACACAATACCCAAACGTTATTTGTCCTACGGCGACCGCGTTTGTTTTTCTTCTTTATAGGGACTGTTTCATCGATATGAACAGTAACACCAACTCCTCCTAACAGATGCGTAACTGTATTCAACTTCCAAGTCGCTATATCTCTGCAATGCTGGAACCATTACACAGTAGATACCAAGGAATTTTCTGTTTCCACAGCAGTTGATTTCACTTCTGCCTTTAATATCCAGTAATGAGACATAAATACGTCGGCGGCGCAGCGGTAGAATGCTCTTCAATCACGCCTTACATGGTCAGGGGTTCGATCCCCGGATGGCGTACTTCTAAACCTCGCTCAGCCCGTAGTGAGTCCTATAAAGAGGGGTGGTTAGGCCTTAGACTAGCGACTCCACCCCGTGAAAAGAAGACCACTGCTGCAGAAATTTCAAAGCTCTAGTCTGAAGCCCTAATTTTCACTAAGAACGTAAAGGAAGAAAAAAGCACATATACGGTATATTCTCCAGTTGTAGTTTCGATTTAGAAAAGCAAGTTCCTGGAAAACAGTGAACTGAATGTATAACTTACCAGTACGAACACTCATTAATTTCCTACATTTTGCGCATCTAAATACATTTTCATCACCTGCTTCTGAGCACGGTCGCAATTACATGGAAGTATCATAGGAACATTTATGGCTACGGGCTGGGGAGTCTACTCCACAAAATCAATTGAAACTTCAAATATAAAAACACAAACTTCATCTTCGCTGGAATCTGAGAGAAGAAATGACGTGAGTTGGTGAAAATCTTCGGGAAGCCAGTGAGCCAATGTGTCTCCTTCGCATATAAACAAATTCAAGCATGAGGGGCATGGAGTGTTTGAATGACTGTTCAGGTTGCAGAAGAAATTAGGAATGCTTATGTAACTTAGTGTTATTTTATGCATGTTATAAACAGTAATTTACTGCTTCTATAGGACACTGATATATTTTAGGCTTTATAATCTTTGTCTCGGAGACACTCAACAGAAAATGTCGAGTTATCATCATGATAGAAGGTTTTAAAAGTCAGAAATTGAAAAACTCTTTGGCACAAAAGTGATTAGTCACTAGATTTCAGCATGATTTGACGTCGGTTAGAGAACCATTGGGAAATGTGGGAGTGCTGAACTTACCAGTTTGGGACTCTTCAACAGTATGCAGCCACTGGGGTTCAAACCCACGACCTCCCCTACACAAAAACCAATACTTGAAAGTCAATGAGATGTACACTAGTGACTGACCCTACGTATTGATGAAGGGTATCAAACTAGGACGAAACAGCCATTCAGTACTCTCAGATTTTTCAATGGTTCTCAAAGTGATGTCAGCTCATGATGAAATCGAGTAAACAATCAATCAGTCCTCTACAAAACCAGTACTTGAAAAACAAAAGTGATTGTTCTTTTAGTTTAAGTAAAGGTCAAGATAGATAAAATTAATCCTTTTTAATCAATTAAATAAATAAATAAGTTAATTAATAGCAAAAACCTACTTGTACAATTCCAACAAGGAAGGTGAGCGTTACAGCCACTAGCACTCTCGGCTCTATTTCTAATGGTGGTATACCGTCTTCCATATCGTCTTCAGTATTCGTCAAATTCACACTCATCATAGAGTTACGATAGTGCCGTTCAACTTTTCCACTGTAGTGTTCAATAGGTCCAGAAATTAGCAGGCTGACAACCGCAAATGTACCTGAAATTATCAAATAGTAAATATATATATATTTGACGGGTAGAGGGTGATAATCAGGCGCATATTGTTCTGTGTCATTCGAGAGATATTAGTTAAAGAATGTTGGCAAATAAACTTATCAACTTCGATAGCATTATGTGTAGTGATAATTGTCTGTTGGTAAACATTTCAGGAAGAATTTTCTCCTTACGTTAGTGAAGTAAAATCTTCGTCTAAAAATGAATCGATTATCAGGTGACTACAGATAATTTCATTAAATATGTTGATGGTCTGATCATTTCTGTCCCAGTCGTTTCTGCATTGAATTGTTCTCATATACTGAATACTTTCTTATCTGAGGTTAAGCAATGGTCTTATTAAACTAAACCCTTCTAAATGTCATAATATTGATTTTAGTTTCAGACACGGTACAAGACTTGTGTGGAGTGATTCATTCCCAGGATGTTTATAATATCGACGTCATTGTTATACAGACTGAAGTGAATATCTACTATTCTGGTATATGTTTCTCTTCGAATCCCCGTTGCTCTTCTCATATTCCACTGATTTCTAAGGAAATCTTTCGTCTGACTTATTACTTAAAGAAGTTGACACTCTCCGCTAACATAAATCAATATCTTCTCTTACAATTAATAAATCCAATGTGTTCTGCCTATTCACCTTCTTTATTGTTCGCCCAAATGATGATTTATGATTCATTTTATCCCACTAACTTTCAGTTTTTCTGATCATATTATTTTCATTATTTTACGTATTTATATAATAATAATAAAAATAATTAAGCTTTTATATTCTAGAAACAGTACTAGTGGTACAGTGTGGAATTTTCAGCACATATCTACAATATTGCATCTAATTTCATCGCACATTTAAAAGAAGTATTACAAAAAAAAGAAATATAAAAAAACAACAACAAAGACCAAAGGGAAACACAAAAATAACAACAAAAAAATGCCAATAAAAATACCAAGTAGAAAGGAAGATAAACACCAGTAATGAATAATATTTTAGTATTTGGTAGTGGAAGCTATGATATGTGTATGCGTGGTGAACAGTAACAGCTATAATCATACAAGAAGCTATGAGATGTTCTTAAGAATGTTTATAGCCATGATGATCAGTTAATTTGATCGAACAACACTAAACAATCATAAAATAAACATTTCAGGTTGTGTTTTTTTTTATTGTCAGCACTAATGCAGTGTTTGTTGTGGTAATGTGAGTAATCCTGCATAATACAACATTTTTAAGATGGTGATAGTTGCGTTCACAACCAAGATTGTCAGTTTAATATTGGCGAGCAAAGAACAACCACAAAAAATTAATATTACATGATGGTTAATGACAGGACAATTTTGTAATACTCATAGTGATGATATAGTCGGGACCAGTGGATACCCAAAAGAAGGAATAGAGTAAAGAATAAAAAAGTAAGCCAATGATAATAATATTAAGTAGCTAAGTATGTTTAAGAAGGTTGTTCACTATTGACTACAAATAAGAGAGTATAAGGGGGAAATAACAAGGGCCGAAATTATGTTATTAACAACAAAGCAAGTCATAGGTTTCACGCTTAACATTGTCTCTGTCACTTAGAACATGGGCCAAATACGGTATCGTTGAGTTCCTATACTTGGTTGTACGAGCATATATTATTTTGTACTGATTTCTGGTTCTACCTGATGAGATGCAAGGAGAGAGTTGGGAATAGAGGGCGTGTTGGGGGTCAGAGAGTCTGGTTTTAGACCATTTTTCTCATGTATTCAGATGCTTATCCACTAATGTAGTGACGAGCTGACCAAGTTTTACACCGCTAGTCCTACTAACTACCTTCAACATCCTTCTCAGGATGGTATAGTCTTTTTTCAGTAACCCAGGAAAGACTAACAGGGAGCAGTAAAGTAGAATAGGTAAGATACGAGAGTTGACAAATTTATAAAAGGAGCTGAATTGTCGCAGTATGTACAAAGGCTCAAAATTTCATCCTGTAAAATTATTATTACTTGGAACAGAGTGAATATATATATATATTGACCTGTAAACGAGAATCGGGAATCGAACCCAGACCATACACTCAGTTGTTTTACCACCTTAAGTATATTTATTCATTCGTCTCACAACTGAACATGTGTCAAACAACACCAAATCATTAAAATCACAAATAAGTCAGACAAAAGCAATTATTCCTCTGAATGACTGCAATCAAAAGTGATCTGATACCAGTTAAAATAAAATGTCCAAGTGCATTGGACTCCAATATATTGGTTGAATGTACAACTTATCCGGTCTGTAACCCGAAGTTACCCAGGTAGGATTTCTGGCGCTGTGCTAAGTGCGCGCTGTTAAGGAATTCCAAACTAGGATGGAACAACCATCCAGTATTCTCTTATGTTAGTCCATGACGAAAATTAAGCATACCTACCTTTAAAAAGTTATCTGGAAACGTTTCAATACTAATTTAATGAATAATGCACAGCTTGATTTCTGATTTTTAGTAAATCTGTGTATGGCTGTATAACAAAGACAGTACTGCAAAATCCGCTTTCAATATAAGTAAACTGTTATGAGCAAGAGTTCAATTGCATGAATTAATCTTCAAGTGCAAAGATAAGGTTTGGGACTAGATGCCTGCTATAAACTGAATGTGTGTTGAAAATGGATCAGGAAACTGCAGCGGATATGCTGACGTCAGTATTTCAAAAGTCTGAAATAAAAAAGGTACCCACCTTATCAAACTACCAATGAAGGATGACTAAGACCTCTGCAAGAACTGCCGAAGAATCATGCTCATATCTATGCCGAGTAAGGTATTGAGTCGTGTAACTCTGGAGAGAATAATAGAAGTAACGGATGCAGAACCCTGTCTAAAACAAGCTGGATTCGAGAAAGGCAAAACATGTGAAGGTTCACTTTCAAATCAAGGCATCATCATTGGACACAGCATAGAAAAGCAGTCGAATTTCGAAAATCAGATTCATCAGATTTGTAAAAGCCTTCGACAGCGTTGACTGTGAAGTAACTTGAAAACTATTTCAGCACTGTGGAGTGCAGTTCCTAAATTTTTATCAACTTCATTCAACAGCTGTATGACAATGTCACATGTCAAGTGATCCAAAACGAAAAACTCAGCGTAGACAAGGTTACCTATTATCACCAATGATATCCTTAATTGTGGGGGTTCGATTACACATCACGTCATCCATAAGAAGAAGATCTGGAATTCGTGGATGATTTATTTCTAATGATACAGAAATTCCCCGACCGAAAGCTGCTACCGTGACGCGGTGGTCGGGCTTGAACACTGCAATGATCTATTCAAGCTATACTGGCTGAAACTTATGTCTCTTGAGTTCCTACCATGCCAGGCAGGTTGTTTGGATTGTGGTTAAACAAAAAGCAGCTACCCAATCCAACATTATGATACATATAAAACCACAAAATTTCATGCCGGATCGGCCGTGGCCCGGATTAACAACGACCGCGCTTCCTGCTACCGTGTCACAGGCCAGAAGTGATAAATATGCTACTGAGACACACAAAACAATAAAGAACAAACAAAAACAGGCCGCGTGTGACCGGCCTCAAGCAGTTGTCCCCTGGGCTCTGCGGTTACGCAACCAACTTCCACGGTGTGGGCAGCCGGTAAGTAACAACCGCCCTCACAATCCGAAATGCACACGAAACCTCCCTATTACTCACTCATCTTTGTCTTCATCTTCATCTCTATCATCTTGCCTTCCTTCCACTGATGCAACTCCTCGACTTGATAGCTCTCCACTTCCTCTCCACTCTGCGTCCACTAAAAACGATGGAAGCCAAAAAACCACCACCGACAGCCTCTTAAAGCCGCGCCACCAATTTCATATAGGAGCTCTTAATGTTAGGACACTTTGCCAAATAGGACAACAAGCATCACTAGCCAAGACCCTGGCATCACGAGCCATTGATGTATGCTGTGTTTCAGAAACACGCATACAAGACCCAAGTGTGGTTATTCACCTAACCCCACCTGGCCAACAGGATGAATCTGCAAAATTCACCTTGAGTGTGTCAGGAGATGCCACAGATAGTTCACGAGGATAAGCTGGTGTAGGGAGGGATAGCTTTGAGTACTAAGGCAGAAAAGATATTACTTGACTGAATCCCGGTAGATAGCCGAATGTGTGCTGTCCGTCTGAACGGGTCAGTAAAAAGGAGAAAGGACTGCACTACTTGCCGATGCCTTTTCGTAATCTCCGCCTACGCCCCCACTGACTGCAGTCGGATGAAACGAAGGATGAGTTCTACCAAAAGCTGCCTAGTTTGCTGCTAAAGGCTAAACGCTCAGATATAGTCGTTCTAGCTGGTGACTTTAATGCTCAAGTAGGGAAATTGTGTCAATCTGAGAAGGATGTCGGTGGCACCTATGGAGTTCCTTGCCAGCGAACGCCGCCTCTGGCGTATGCGAGATATTCGACTACCAACCTAAGGGCGGGTGTACTGCTCATTAGTTCGCTCCGTCCTCCTTTATGGCTGTGAGACCTGGCCACAGAGAGTGGAAGACATGAAAAGATTAGCTGTCTTTGATCATAGGTGCCTGCGTTCTATCTCCCGTGTGAAGTGGTATAATAAGGTGAGCAATACTGAGGTTAAGCGTCGAGTTCTGGGTAAGCAGGGGAGATCAATCGACGAGGTTGTGAAATTACATCGACTGAGATGGTTAGGACATGTGTTACGCATCTTTGACTAGTCATCGCCTTCCTCGACAATAGGCAATGTTAGCGGATATGGAGCCAGGCTGGAAAAAAGCTAGCGGAGGTCAAACAAAAACATGGCCTCACCAGTCAATGAAATCTACAACTGTTAGTCTAAGCCACGTAGGAAGGTGTATGTAGACCTCCTGACTGGTTGGGGTCCTCGGGACGGTAAAAATCAATGGTTGGAAACAATTGGTGACATGGCTCAAAGTCGTTCTCAGTGGCGCAGATACATCCACTCCTTGCGACTTATGATTTCCAATG